CCCCCCCCCCACGTACCTGTCCCTATGGAGGGGCCGGCGCAGGCGCTCCCTCCGCGGAGGCGGGGCGGGCGGTGTCAGTCAGCGGCGGCGGGAGATGCGAAGGGGCTGAGCGGGAAGGCCGCTCACTCTCTCGCCTCTCTCCTCGCAATCCGCTCCGGCTCCCCTCGCCGCCCGGCTCTCCCTCCTCCCGAGGACACCTTCCGCCATGTCCTTCCGCCAGAGGAGCCCTCACGGCGGCACGAAGAGCAGGTAGAAGCCAGGGGTACCGGTACCGGTACTCATCCTCCCACCCCCCCCCTTCTTCTCCCCGTCCCTCAGGCGGGGCCCGCGCGCCCCCTGCGCGTGCCCTTCCCGCCCTCCGCGGGGCCGTTGGGCGGCCGCCATGTTCTCCGGCGGGGCAGCCGGTGGCCCCTCGCTGAGGTACGGATTCCCCCACCCCCCCCGGCAATTAAAGCGAAGCGGGGCTGAAGCTCCCCCCGCGGGGGTAGGGGAAGGGGGGGTGTAAATGCCCGGGTTCCCTGTGCCCGCCATTGTCTGCAAGGGCGGGCGGCGAGGGGCAGGTTGCGGGGCCGTTAGTAGCGGAGTGTCCTTGCGTGGGAGAGCCTCCCTGTGAGGGGACTCTGAAGGCCCACACCTCCTCGTGTCGCCAGGCTTGGTTTGTTGAAGTAAAACTAGTAAATACACCACTGTGCCTGCATACGATGATGTTACAGAGAGGTTAATTAAATAAACCCACCTAGCGTGCTCACGTTGTCTTGGCTTGTCTGCTTCCAGCCCACAGCCTCTGCCTCGCTGGTCCCAAGGAAGAAAACGTGGCGCAGATGGAAAGCGGAGAAAGCAGAGTGAATCTGATTCATCCGTTTTTGATGAGAACAAGTACAGGCCTTCTGACAACAGGCTGGAGAGGTAGGCAGTGCTTGCAATAGAAACATCCCTCTGCTCTTTTGTTCATCAGGAGCTGTTGAATTGTGTATTGTACTCAGTTTTTCAAGCCCTGCCTATTTATAAATCACTCGTCCACCATAAATAGCTGATCTTAAAGGAGGGAAGAGAATCTAGTGCAGCATTCTTATCTTGGAGTCACTTCTTACAAATAAATATTTTTCATTCTTATGTCTTGAATTATATTCTTCATAATTTTCTGTCCTATTTCATGCTTGCTTACCCCCATTTATCGTGAAGCAATAACTGTACAAGCCAGTTATGTTTGTTTCTGGATATAAGTTGTACATACTGCTGTGGTAAAACTAAATGAGATGACAAATGAAAAATTCAAGCCTTGGAAGTCATCTGTGTTCATATTTCTGAAGGCAGTACAGACCATCTTGAGAAGTTGTGTCTAAGTATGTCAATACATGTGTGGTGGGGTCTACTTCTAAGGTCACTTGCTCTGTTCATACTGCTACTTGCTGCCTTCCTTACCATTTCACAGCACAGGTAAACTTCAGTTTAGTGAAAGTATCTTATTTTATATCACTGTCTACATCTGAGCTATTCATGCCACAGACCCTTTAGTCCCTTTTAGCAGTGGATGGGAATTGTGGCCTGCAGCCCAGTTGATTGAATCTAGATTCCTAATCTAGACTGAGATGGGTCATACCCAGTAACTACCTATTTTTCCTTGCTAATAATCAGTGGGGAAGATATTGGTCAATGGCTCAAATTACGATATCCAAAGTAAATGAAATTAATTTCAGGAAGTGTGTTTGAATAGGAGTACAAGGATGAAACTTTACAGATTGCTTCATCAGTTTCAACCTAAATAAGCAATGTTTTTGTGTGTCTTCCAGTATTGAACAGGCATACTTTCTGGATTAGTTTTGATTCAGCTCTGATGGAAGTTGTTCTCTTCCTGGGCTAAAACTACATTTTGTTTATGCCAATTCAACACTGTCAAAATAAAATTTTAAAACGGGAAGAGGATTGGGATGGAGGCTTGGTCATACAACAGATCTGGGCAGGCAGTGTATGGGGTGTGGTTATAGCCTTGTTCTTCTGCCCTTCTGGCAGAGTTTGAGCACCATTTGCAGTCCTAGCACAGCACCAGAGCTTCTTGCCAAGTGTGAGATGGCATGTGGGGATGAAAGTCTTGAGAACTAAGCTCAGTATGTCTGGCATCAGAGCAAATTAATCAAGAGAAAAAGCTGTAGACCCTCCCGTGTTCTCCCTAATTCTCTGTATACACAGCACAGGTACAGAATCAAACACCTATAAAAAGGTGTGACACAGTGTTGATGAGGAAATAGCTCAGATGTTGGGACTAACTGGGTAGTGCTGGGATTGCACGGTTCTCTACCATGAGAGAACACTAACTGAATGTAGCCTGCATTTTCTGCAAAGTTAGAAATTAATATAAGCAAATACTAAAAATCCTTGGAGGTTGAGCAGATATTTGCAGAGGGACCTGTACTGTTTGCTATGGATTTTTAATTTTTCTGAGTTGGTAACTGGCTTTCCTCTAAAAAGAACTTTCAGTTTGAATTTAACAAAAACTTCAAAATAGTGCAAGACTATTTCTGAGCTGGGAGCAGGGAGGGAGTTGGACCTGGTTTTAGCACAGGTGGATCTAATTCCCTGACTTCAATGGACTTCTTTGCACAGAATCCTGGTGAGTCTCCAGAGCATTTCCAGATCTACTCAAAAAGCTCTGGTGTGCAGGACACGGTTTTGAGTTTGTACTTCAGGAAAATTGGTCATCAGGAGGACAGAAACTGGAAAACGTTTAATAATCTGAATATAGGCAACTATTGTTGGCTGGGAAGGGATATAAGCTTATTTCCCTGCAACAGTCTGAATCTGCTCGTGATGCTAATGGGCTACAATAAAGTTGTTAAATACGAGTTTGCAAAGTCATAGCAAATCTCAGTTTACTAGCTAAAAATTGACTGCTTTTCTTGTGCCTTTGCCTTCTTTACTAGGTATATTTTCACATGGAGAATCTCCTGGTGCCATGGTGTAATTTTAATTAATTAGCTGTACGATTTAATTCTGTGTTCTAACTTTTGTTTTTTATATAGCTAATGAGTCTGCGATCATGAAAGAATAAATATTTGTTAACTCATGTAGTGGAGTGAAAATAAGTGAGTAAATGAGTAAAGTTGGTATTTCACATACCATTTTCTGAAGGACACCAGCTTAAAATTATTGAGGGTGTACAGTGGTATGTTTCTGTAGATATCTACATAAACTTTTTAAGGGGGGGGGGGGCGGACAAACAAACAAACCCCAAACCACACAACTTCAAGGTGGAACTCTCAAATGATTCTTAATTTTACAATGTAAATTTTAATAGAACAATACAAGATTTTTCACAGCCATTGTGAGTACTATAAATGAATATACTAAATAGCTAGCAAGCTGTGAATGGGGGAGATGCCAGGGGTGGGAAATACAATAAAATAAAATTTTAATGTAGAGGCTTTTTTCCTTTGTTTCTTTTTTTCTTTCTAGTTTTACAACACCAGAAGGCCCTGGACCCCTTTCCCGGTGTTCAGATTGGGGAACTGCAGTAGAAGAAGAAGAAATGAGGAACAGTGTTAACAAAGAAATTGCAAGGTACCTGTGGGTGTTTAAGATGAAGTGGGGAAAGGAGGGGAAATGGTAGTTGTCCTGTAGAATCTGTATTGACTTCTATTTTTAACTTCACAATTGTAGTAAAATCAGACCAACCTTTGCAGCTTGTCTGCTGCTTTTAGATCAGTTTTGGCTTAAGTCCTGCAGGAATGACATAGCATTATCACTAAATATCTCCCTTTTGGAAGAAACCTTTCCTGAATCTTGTAGTGAAAGGACATTCAAAGTAACTCAAATTACTGTTTTTGCATATCATTGCTATAAAAAGATATTTAGCGAAAAGACTTAGGAAAAGAAAGTCTTCAGAATTTTTTTTTTTAGGGGAAAACTGAAACATCCATTCCATAGTGGAAAGGCATTTACAGTGTCTGGGTTGACTTTTTCAGGACTGCTGCTTAGCTGAGAAGTAAAATCAACTGTGAGCTGTGCCAGTGCACCCTTACTGTTCTTTTTGTGTATGTATATTCTTAATATCGATTTGAACTCTTACAGATACAGAAGAAAACTCCTGATAAATGAATTTTCAAGAGAAAGGAAGTCCTCCTCTGGAAGGTAGGTTGAATTTGTAGCTTAGCTGAGGAAAATCCTGACAACAGGTCTGAATTTTAACATGTACCATGTTGCTTCTTAAAATGCTGAGTTTGAAATAGTTCATCTTAAGTCTGCTCCAACATCATAGTTCAGTAACATCCCAAGCATTCATTTGAAAAGTTTTAACATGTTTCTTTATAATCTACACGTGGATTTGTTTGAGTGTCACTTGTTTTCTAGTAGTGCTAAATCTACAATGTTTTTTCTTTAGTTCTGATTCAAAGGAGTCCACTGTGACAGTAGAACTTGAGACAGATGAAGTGGTTTTGATGAGAAGACAAAAACAGATAAACTACGGAAAAAACACAATTGCGTACGATAGATACATTAAAGAAGTTCCTAGGTAAGCTGCTTGGGTTTCTGGAAAACTAAATATTCAATTGTAACTCATACCTGTTCTTTATAAGCATATTAACATACTAAACTTGGTATCTGAGACACATTCAGATAGAAGGCATCTAGAAATTAAACTTTCTAAGACACCTTTAACCAGTAAGTCACACAATCAAATGAGACATGGATAATTTTTTTTTTAACTAGTTGGTACATGAGGAACATCCCTTCAAACCTTCTCATGCTGCAGAAATGGAAGTGAAAGTTCTTTTGGTTGTGCTCGTCAACTAGGGGCAATGAAACTGCTTTTTGCAGTCCATTTTCTCATTAGTAAACTAAAAGACAAAATGGACTACAGTCGCTCTTAAGTTTGGAATGAGGTTTTTAGACCTATGGTTGTTAATCCTTTTTTTATTTTTTATTTGACTCAAAGACAGAAAAACTAGAAGTTCATAAGGAGCTGACAACTTTTCACTTGAGTGCTGGAATTGCGTGTAGGCTTTTCTCATAAATAATATAGTAACTTAGAATTTGCTGCATTGTAATGAGTCTGTGTAGCAGGCAGTCAGTCTTACCATTTAAAACTACATGTTATGTATGTGTGAAAAACACTAATGAATTTTTCATGTCTAATATCTGAATAGATGCCATCGTATACCGGGAGTTCATCCCAGAACTCCAAATAAATTTAAGAAGTACAGCCGTAGGTCATGGGACCAGCAAATTAAACTATGGAAAGTTGCATTGCATTCGTGGGATCCACCTACTGAAGAAGGATGTGATCTGCAAGAAATGTATGTATACAGTATTCAAGATACCTTTATAGAAATGAATATATAAAACCTCATGTTCAAAACAAACCCACCCCACCCCCCCCCAACCAGCATAGCCCTTTTTGAGACAAGTCAGTGATTGCTGAATGTTTTCATTAGTTACTTGTCCACATGTAGTGCTATTCAGTTCCTTTGTGGTCAAAATATCTTGTAGCTTTCTGGACCTAGTTGGTGGGACTAGACTTACCCAGTGTCCTTGCAAGGGCATATATATATATATTCCTCACTTCTTTAATGCATGTCAGTGGGTGAAATCAGAGCTCATTCTGCAGTACTCTATAAAAGAAAATACCACACCCTTGAAGCAAGCTAATTCTTTCAGAGCAGTCTGCAGATTAATCTGTGGTAGAAGCAGTGCTAGAGAGGTCTCACTAATTGACAGATCTCATGAATATTGAGCTTGGACCAATAAAATGTATGAGAACCTGCCTCATAGCCTTCTCACTTCCTAGTTCAAGAACACTGGTATGAATTCTTGTTTCTTGAGCAGAGGGGAGGAAAGATGTACTTGTAACATCATCTCAGGGTACCATTGAATTAAAAGCATGGCCACAGTCCATGTGTTCACAGTCCAAGCTACTGTGCTATTCTGCTCTAGAAGATGGAGAATAATGCAACTAGTTATTTTCCTCTATAGAAAGCAATAAAGCTGATCAGGGAACATCCAAAACAAAACTGTGGGACTACAGAATGAAGAGGACACAGATGTAACTAATTCCTCAGGAAGCAGTTTTGTGGTGATAAACTACGGTTTTTCGCTAACAGTGATGCTGACTTTAAAACCCATATGGAGCAGTGGGATCTAAAAGCAAAGGCTTACTTTTAGCTTCCTTTTACTTGTAATTGACGTGAGAGGAGTTGGTATTTCAGCCTGAAGCCTACTGTGTATGTTGGTGTTGAAATAATAGTCTATTTTCAGATGCTGGGGTCTAGTTCTGTGTACAGTGAATGTTAAATCTTATGTTGCAAAAGAAATCGATGAAAACCTTGTCTGGGAGAAAAAAAAAATTCCTTGCTCTTCCATAACATTTGTCTTTATTTGTATTGAGGCATTTTTTGAGTATTGAGTATTTGTCTTTGACAAGTTGCAGTATTCAGTCTCAAGACTTTAATTTAGTCCTTGGCCATTTTGGCTGTATTGAGTTGACCTGGTATTCTGGTTGGTCTCTGCAGTTTGCCACCACTGTCCCTATTGATCTCTGTAGGTCTTTTTGCTCTTGTTTGGCCATCATTTTCAGACCTGCACCTACAAAGTGCAACTTACTACTAAAAAACTGAATTTGTTTTAAGTTGTATTCTTTTAAATTATTTTACAGTAGTCCTGTTGACCTTGGTGAGATGGAGACAGAATCTGTTGGAAGCAATTCTACTGAATCTCAAACGAGTTGTCAGGATAATGATGTAAGCATATCTGTCATAAATATTTGTTAATAATTGGTCCATTACTTAGAATCGTACCCAAAGTAGCCTGAATACATGAGAAGTTCCATAATCTGCTGTGTTTAGGGACTGTTCATAAAGCTGAGCAATCTTTAAATTTTCCCAGCTATAGCCAATTAAGTTCTGCTTCAAAGGAGTCTACTGTGACAGTAGATGTCTGTAGTCTGAGTTTAGAGAGTTAGAACTTAAGTGACCATCTCAAACGACACATCTCATTTTTCATAGCCTGCAAAAGGTTATTTATCTGTTCAAAGCATGTCAGTTGTGAACTGTGATGTACAGTGGAAATACTACTCTAGATGCAATATCTAATGTTAAAATAGGATGTAATTTTGGCACACTCAGACTTTTTGAAGTAGGCTCTTTTTGTATCCAGAAAGCGTTTAATACACCTGAGCAGTAATCTTCAGTAAAGATCTAGTAATGTTTTTCTTACTGGATTTGTTTCTCTGATGAATGTTGAATGTGTATAATGTTTTAATGTATGCAGATATAGATCCTTAAAATGCAAGGAATCTTGGAATGTGGTTGAAGGGGCAGAAGCCTTCATTTAAATCTTTTTAATCTTAAGACTAGCCCTGGGTTTTTGTAAGGCCTTTAAAGTGCTTGTAAGTCTCTGTTAGCGGGTAGTCTAAATGAATTACAGAAGTGAAATGAATTATTGCATAACTAAACCTGTATTTAACTGCTAATTATTAACTGACTTTGTATTCCAGGATACCTGCTCTGGCACTCCCACCAAAGTTAGACATGTTGACTATCAAGCAGAAGGTGAATTTGACTTGGAAGTGTGTTTGAGGGAACCACTTAAAGATTTTGATACTGTCAGTTAAATAGTCTGTGCAAACTGTTTTAGAGGAAGTTTCTTTTAAATTTGAGAGGTTAACTTGATTCATAAACTGTTTATAGTAAGAAAGCTTAAGCAAAGTTCAAGACTGTTCTCTAAGTTGTGATTGGTCTACATATTCTCTGGACCAAACTTATGTAAAAATACCATTAAGTTGTGTGACTTCTTTTTAACTTCTAATTTATGTATATCAGATTTTTTTTGTACAGGCTTTCAATAGAAAAACTAGCCAAAGGCAGTGCTATCCTCAAGTAATTATAAATAGTTCAGCAAGATCTTACTGATTCCCACCCCCATTGTGTCCATAATTTCAGTTGTCCACCTGCAGATCAAGAGCAAAATAGGGACATATTTTTGAGCATCTGTGTTACCTTGCTTTTCCATCTGGCTCTTCTACGAAGATCTGACTTGAAGTAATACAAGTGGTAGCTGAACTGTACTGCTGATTAGTACTAGTAAACCCATCTACTGCAGTTATTTACTGTAAGATTAACTGCCTTACCTTTAAAAAAACCATTCTTTATTTGCAAAAATGTTTCAGAAACAATTGGAAGTTAAATACAAGAAATTGGAGGTCAATATGGTAAAGCTTAGACAATAATGCTTTAAAAAGCAGTAGCCTGAATTTGAAATTTGTAAATAGTCATGAGTTGTTTGTTAATACACTCCAGAAAACAATGTCTAGGGAAAGTGCTTGATTCTTTTTAATTTGCTGATTTTAAATGTAAAACTGTTGTAAATGATAACACTGTACAGATTTTCTGCTGAAAGCAGTTAATGTTTCTATTGCTTTTGTATGGGATGTTGCTGGAAAATAAATGAAATGTGTTTATTTATGACTCTTAATTTCATTTCCTACTAGTGATGTTCCGCGGATAAGAAAATGCAGGAAAATACTGGAAGCCATGTATCTGATACTGATACTAGGCTAGGATATGTGTGTGTTAGCACCATCCTCTTTCTTTGAGGGAGACCTTAAAAACTATTTACTTGTGTGCAGGCCACTGGAGTGAATTTAAGACTTAATTATAATGGGTAAGCCTGTTGTTGACCTTTTGCAGACTTCTTAGAAGCAGGTTAGTTTAGTAGGTGTCCGTTAGCTGGTTACCAAGTTCTGTTCTCTAGAAAAACTGCTAGAAGAGCTAGGCGGACACTTCACTCCTGTTTACTACACAGGACCTTTTGTTAAAGTCACCTCACCTGGTTTTATCTCCAAAATGGAATTTCTGGGTGTTGGTGGTACAACACTGTCAGGCTCAATGGAGACACTTAAACTTTTCAACTCAAGTGAGTATCCTAGCTGTAAGCAATATTACCACCTATCTAGTTTGTTAGGTGCTCTTAAAATCTGGTGGCTTGATCTGATGGGGAAACTTCCAAGAGGAAGCTGTGGCATTGGTATAAAGTTGGAGCTATGTTCTGGTGTGAAGGAGACAGCCTTCCTAGTGTGTTTTTTTTTCCAGAAAAGGCAGCAAAATGATAGTTTGTTTTGCTTACTACATGGAGTAAGCCGTCTCTGCCCTCCCCAGATGGCTTTTCTCATGGCATTTTCTGTCTCTGGTTGTTCTTAAGTGTTTTTGTTGGGTAATCCCTAATTACAGCTTGAGCTGCAATTTGCTTTGGAACTTCTTTCTGATATCCCCTTCAATAAAAGTGGTCTTAAGGTCAAGCCAAATTCTTCCATGTCTACCTAGAATAATCTGATGCCTTTACTTAAGGCTTCTACATAATGGCTAAAAGGGGTTTAAACTAGACTTCCCAGGTAGCACAGGAACTGCTCTGAGTGTCTCAGTTTTTAACTTTGATGATAGGCCTGACAGACAATTGCATGTGAAGCTACTTGGGAACACTATTTCAAGTCACGTCTACTTACTATTAGGTTTTTTTAATGGTTAATGCATCTAATTTGAGTCAGCCACTTAAACCTTAATGCAGTTCTGTCTCTGTGCCACTTGACCATTAGTAACTGCTGGTATTTTTCATAAGAGTGTTTTTTTGAGAATGTGTGTTACTTCTGAATGTTTTAAAGGTTAGTAATGAGTAACATGAAGCCAAGAACAAAACTATTCATGTATCAAATAAGCTACAAATAGTTCATACAGGTGAACATCAGTCTAGAATAAAGTATTAATGTTAAATGATGTGTTTCTACCCAGTGTGAAATGAGTAAGGCAAGATTTCTGTAGAAAACTACGTACTGCATACCTGGTAACTAGTATATTTGTCAACTTGATTCTGTCTTCATAACCTTGAAGTGCAGGTTACTAGTTGACACAACCATCTAGGTATGGTACCTGAGGCTGTTAGTATGGTTCTTAGCAAGAAGATGATACATGAACAAATAGTATTAAAACAAACAAACAAAAAAACCCCCGATCTTTTTGAGTAATTTGAGTTCTCTGTGACAGTCCTTATGATTTTGTGATGTGTGTTCTTTGCAATCTGTTTTAGAGGAGGAAATGCAGGAGTCTGACTAAAAGATTCAGGTATGGGGGAATGTGGGGAAAACATTGTGAAGAACCCTAATACCTATGCAGTGTAGAAAGATACTAGGCAAACAACCGAGACCAGTACTTTTCTGTTAAAATGGAATGTACAACAAATACTTCTTTGGCAAATGTCTGGAGATGCTTTTTAATGTCTGCAGAGGAATTTCTCAGTGGTGAGTCCACAAACTTAGTTATAATTTGAGACAAATCCAACTAACCTGCTACTACTCAGCCAAGATTTTCAGCAGAGGCCTTGGGGTATGATCATCTTGCTTGCAGTGTTGCATGGAACCTGCCCGCTGAGCAACACTCTCTGAGCATTGCGCTGGCATACACAGCTGTCTGCCCTGCTGAAATGAGCGCTGCTTTTCACTGTGCTGCTCTCAGTTCCACCTCTGTTCCATCTTTTCACCTTTCAGAGCTATGCTGTGTCACTTCTGCTTCACAGTGTAAGGTCCTATGTTAACTGTTCCATTTTCTCGGCTAATTTATCCCTTGTTTTCTTTTCCTCTAACGTGCTCCAGCTAGCTTACAGATAACTTAATTCTGCTGGCTTCGTTAAAAGCAAACCTTAGGTGCCGTTCAGCATGCACGCTTACTCAGGAGCTAGGTACATGTTGGTAAAACATTTCAGCCTGGACATATAGTTGGTCTGTGTTCAGTAGCTGTTTGTGAAACACTCAGATTTTTGAATTTGTCCTGAAGCAGCTGGGCATCCATAGTAGTGTCTTTAATCCTACAAATTATTTCCCTTTGCTTCAACTACTTGGAGAACTTAGTTTTTATGGATTGCATTTAAAGAGAGCGCTCATGCTGTCTGACTTTGGATGTTTTTACAAAGGTACTGAACACTGAATTGGAGAACTATTTTGCACTAGAATAAAGCCCTCTGGTGGTTAAATGTGGGATAACATCCATTTAGGTTAATGTCTGGTAATAGACTAATCTTATGGAAAAATAACATCCATATGTTCAATTGTGCATAGCTGCATACAGTGGAGTTTGCTTCAGATGGAGACTTGGCAAGTACCACTGTCAAACTCTAGACTTATTAGGTTAAATTCCTTTAAAAATAAAAATGAGCAGGTTGTTACGTAGGCAGCAGAACCTGTCAACCCTGCTTTTTATAGATCTGTGCCTTCTGTTTTATGTTTCTCTTACTCCCTTCACACCGAGTCTTGTCCTCTTTCGGCATCCTTCGTACCATGCCTGGCTAACTGACAGTGGTCTTACCTATGGCGAATTTAAAGTTCCATCTGTTTGCACTGGGTAGTTGGTATACGTGTACCGATAGCATGGCAAGTAGAACGTTTAAGAGCGAAGCTGTCCCAGGTTTTCCTTCACTTGGGCAATAATTGTGTTTTTCTTCATTACTTAGCTGTTGTCACATAAAGCTTAAAGGAACGTATGTAATGGGTTTTTTGGTTAAATACCTGGAAAACTAGCTCAAAAATTAGAGGGGGCAGGACAGGTGTTTTGAAAAAGACTTGACAGTACAACTATTTCAGCCTCTTTAAAGAAGCCCAGCTAAAACCATCTTTGTTCCATGAATCCATTTTTAAGTAAAAAATACCATTCAACATTTTGTTCATGCGTGTATTTACTAAAATTATTTTCAGGATTATCTGCTTTGTCGTGTTGCTAATGCAGACAAAACCCCTGGTGTAGAGACAAGGTGTATATAGAACAACCATGGATGTGTCAGCATGGATCTATGTGGAAGTCTGCTGGGGGATCAGGCATTTATCAAAACAGAACTGGTAAAAGAGTGCTTTTGAAAGAATTTTGAACTTACTGGAAGTTCTTACTGTTCTGTGTTTTCTTCTTCTATATGATTTCTCAAAATGTGAGAAGATTGATTGCTAACAGTTTAAGAATAACTTTTTGAGTGCTTCCTGCCAAATAGGGATAATTTTAGCAAAATATATAAACAATTAAGAGATTAAAGTGACTTTGGGAAGTGTCAGAAATCCATTTTATTTTCAAACAAAACAGTGTAGTTAGGATATAGTGTATATACTTAAATTGGTTAGGAGATAATTTATTCTATACATGTAGGATTTAGTTTTGTGGCATCTGGGTAGTACCTAAATACAAAACATGCAAGGGATCAAGATCTAGCATCTGTCACTTCTGGCCCCCACTGTATTTTTGGATTACCAATGCTATTCATTCTTTGAGCTTGCCACTTACCTATCTTGGATTGTGTTTAAGCACAAGAGCAAATTAATTTATCCAAAAAGTGCTGATTCATGCATTTGAGAAATAACTTAGGTTTAAGTGGGAAGTTGGAACTTACGTTGTGGGTTAAACTGGGGTTCAGCTGTCTATGCTGGGAGTTTTCTATCTATTCAAGTTTCTGTTGAGAAAGTTCCTGGGAGGTACTGGGATGCTCTAATTATTAGCAAAAACAACGTTCCCTTTTGTGTTTCTTTAGAAAGGGGCTATTCCATTTCTTCTGAAAAATGCTTTGTTTTCAGAAATATGAGTGCAATATAGAGATGAAGATTGCGCCTGCTCTTTCAATCGGCTTTCACGTGCTAGAATCAAAGTAACTTTGCAATACTGCAGAGGGCAGTAAAAGTGCATGTTTAATTACATGCACACAAAAGAGATCTCAGAGTTGCTTTACATTTGTTGTAAATGCCAGGAATCTAATTATACTTACTGATTCTGACCTTAGGAGCAACCCATAGTTCCAATAAAACCCCCTCAAGTCTGTCATCTTTCACTGTTCTTTCCATTTCCAGTGTCACTTGATCTTAAGCCCATTATTACAGGGAATGGAAGATAATAGTAACTTACCAGTAGACAGAGAAAAAATGGACTTCAGGGGGGGAAAAAGTCCTCCTGAC